CTGGGTGGGCAGGCAGAGCGTTTGGGCAACGCGAACTTTAACGTCAGCTCCGTAGAACGTTGCGTGGTTGGGTTTAATCCGCGTTTCGTTGCGTGCCGTGTCCCTGCAGCGAACCCCTGCGGTGTACTGCGTGAGGCTAGCCCGAGCCTTGGTCGATGACTACTGCAACTTGGTGCCAGGCTCCATCCAGACACTGAAGCAGATATTCAGTGCCAGTCCTCGCTTCTGCTGCCAGTTCATTACATCCGTCACAGCCCTCTACGACCTCTCTTCAGGTCAGTGTTTCCAAACTGTGCCTTTCCAAGTAGGAGAGGCAGATAACGCAACACGCTAACTGTGGGAAGTGAATTAACTGCTGAAATTCTCAAGGTGCCTGTTACCTTGTAATTATTGCCAGAAGCAGCTCAGGGGTGTGGCTGTTGCTTCATTTGTCCCTGGGGTGAGAATAAAAATGACCACTCGGTGGCTGAAGGAAGAGTCTTGGCTGGAGAAGCAGCCAGGTAGCGCCTGACGGAAAGGGCAACGTCCTCCGCGGAGGGCAGAGGACAGGGGCACCTTACTGACAGAGCGGCTGTAGGAGCGACGGCCCATCTGCCTGCGCTGGGCGGTTTGGTCTCCCTGTTGTGTGTCACCTGCCCAGCAGATAGACTCAGGGCTGTCTGTCAGTCCAGTTCCTTCCAAAAAGGGGAAAGCAGAGTTTCTGAATGTTTCCCAGCTGGAGCAGGATTTCTGTTGAGCAGCCACAAGAAACACAATCAGCAGTGTACCTCCAATGCGCTCTTTAACTGTATGGGTGACCAGCTGGTGGTACGGGCTCGGGTGGGTGTTGCCCAGACACTAGAAACGTGTAGATGTCTAAAATAAGGCTTTACTCGGCGAGAGAGAGGGAAGGCAAGCTTGTGGATTAGGGAACAACTGTACACTAAATACCACCGTCGGATATCATCCAAAAAAGGAAATACTATTTGTTATTGTTAAAGGAAATGTTTGGCACAGTCTTCTCCAGATTAACAGCTTGGCATTGGTGAGAAAGAGATGCAGGCTTAGATTTGTTTATTTAAAAAATAATTTATTTAAAATAAAAGTAAATTAAAATAAAAGAATTTATTTTAAAAAGTATCAGGTAGAGCTTGTAGCATATTCTTCCTTGCTGTATTATATCGGTTTTGTGCAACCACTTGGAAGTTCATCCAACTAATTAAAGGACATGTCAGAAAGGAAATAAGATGAGTTACAGGAGGTAATATTTTTTAAAATCCCTTAGTTTATTTGAGATGTTAGTGGTGACACAAGAAAAGGAAGCTTGCTCTTCACAGAGTGATCTGTAACTGGGCAGTCTCCACCGTGTCCTGAGGACAGGAGTTGACCACCCAAACATCAGTATCTGTGATACCTGGAGCTCTTGGGAAAACTAAAAACTGGAAAACACTCATCCCTTATCCACTGCAGTAATTCCATAGTCCAGATGATCTGTCCTAGAAGTCATTTCGGGTACAAAAGACCTGACTAGATAGTTCTGTGCTGAGCCCTTTGTCGATGCTGTACGTCACTCGCAACGGAAGTGTGCTGCTGACCCCAGCAGCCTGCCCCCGTGACGGGACGATGCCTGTTACTGTGAAGTCAGTGTTCTGACTCTTGTCTGTAGCCAGGCTTCAGTTCCTGACCATATTTCCCTTGAGGCGTTACATAATCTTATAATCCTTTACCTGTCACGTCATTGTGTTGATGGGTTAAGTTTTTCCACAAAGACACACTTGTTTAGGTAAGACTTAAAGGAAATGAATGACTGGGGTGAGGAGAAGGAAGTGCCAACAGGTTTTTCCTATTCCCATTGTACTTCCTATGGCAAGGGATAAGGGGAGACTGGGTTTAGACAAAAATCGAGCAGGTAATGGGTGGGAGAGAAGAAAATGACAAAAGAAGCTTTTCTGGGAAAGGGAATGACAGGTTTAAATTGAAAGTGGGGAGATTGAGATTGGACATCAGGAAGAAATTCTTCCCGGAGAGGGGGGTGAGGCACTGGGACAGGTTGCCCAGAGAAGCTGTGGATGCCCCATCCCTGGAAGTGTCCAAGGCCAGGCTGGATGAGGCTTGGAGCAACCTGGTCTAGTGGAAGGTGTCCCTGCCCATGGCAGGGGGGTTGGAACTAGATGAGCTTTAAGGGACCCTCCAACCTAAACCATTCTATGATAAATGTTGGCATTTGGTGGTGGAGAAGATGAAGTTGGGAGTGTGGTTGTGTCTTCCCTGGGACAAATGAGCACTTGCCTTTGGTATCTGGGAAAAAACAGCAGAGTTGGGGAGGTTTTGAAATTGTAATTGTGACAGTGCAGGAAGGGTGTGTGAGAGGTTAATTAAAGGCTGCTGCCTTGTGCTCCCAGCGCAAGGCTCAGCTTACTCATTAATATCTTTCCTGTCTTCAGATGACCTCATCCCTCCTTCAGATCTGCTGGAGTTGATTGTTTCCTGGATCTTTGAAGACCCCCGCTTGATCCTGATCACCTTCCTGAACACCCCTATTGCAGCCAACCTGCCAATAGGGTTTTTAGAGCTCACCCCGCTGACGGGACTGATCCGTTGGTGCGTGAAGGCCCCCTTGGCTTACAAAAGGAAGAAGAAAGCCTCCCTCTCAAATGGACCCCCCCCCAGCAAAATTGCCAAGGACTCAACTTCAGGAGAAGACAGAGATTGCCACCAGCTGTATTCAAAACTGCATCTAAGTGTTCTGCAGGTTCTTATGATGCTTCAGGGGCATTTAACGGAGAAGAACCTTTATGGGCGCCTGGGGCTAGTACCCTTTGACCACGTGGTTCCACTCGTTGAGGAAATCAACAGACTGTCTGATGAACTCAATCCTCTCAATGCATCCAAAGAGATTGAACTGGCTCTGGACAGACTGGCTCAGGCTTTGCAAGTGGCCATGGCATCAGGAGCACTCCTGTGCACTAGAGGTGAGTTGTCAGTGGGGCTGGCAGAGACCCTGGCATGGGATGCTTTTCCTTCAGTGTGTGGATGGTGTAAAAGGGAGTTTTGGGATGGGGAGAGTCAATATCAACATGGTCACACCAGAAGCAGTAGTTTGCGGCTCGTAGGAAATGATAGTGCAGGATACAGTTCAGGAAAAATAACTGGATGGGGAGAAAAAGGGAGATAGCATTGATGCAAGTGACCTGTGCGTTGCTTGGCAGAGCTGGAGAATGGATCTTCTGCCTCGCAGTGTGCGAGGGGTTGTGTCTGGGTGTCCGGCCTGGGGGCACGTTTGGCCCCCTCAGAATTGCTTGTCGCTGTTTAACGGTGTTCCTTTGAGTTTGCCTGCTGGAGGAGAGTCCGTGAAGTATATAAACCATGGGGTGGGTGTGCTAGACAAGGAATTTGAAAAGCAAATAAAAACATTTCATCTGTAATTTCTGGGTCTTCGGCGCCCTCCTGTAATGAGACCTCGTTACAGCGTGGACCCGTTCAGTTAAACGTAGTAAAGAAGCTGCTAACGTGGCTTTCATCTGTCTTCCCTGTGCCCAAAACCAGCGATTTCTGAAAGACCTGCAGAGATGAGAAAGGGAAGTGCTGCTGGTCAAGTCTGTGTTCTTCTTTCTAATCTTTTATAGTAGCTGGAGGTGTAATAAGGACAAGCAGACAAGTGGAGGTTTTTGAGCTGATGGCTTGTTTCAGCTGTGTTTTTTCTTAGCCTTTCCTTGTCACCTTCTGAGCTGTAAAAAGTGGAAGGTAATTCAGTGCTAAGTAGCTGCTGCAATACCAGTTAGTTCAGTGTTTTGGGTGTGCAGTTATCTACAAAGGCAGGAGTTTGTTCTCAAGCTATTCCTGAAAAGACTCTAGCAACAGGGTATGTTGTTAAATACTTAGTTCTAGCTATTCTGCTTTTGCAGAAGTTTGGAGATTGTAAAAAAAGGTGCAACTTGTAGTGGATATACCTCAGCAAAAAATAACCCGCAACCCTTTCTTTACACTAGCACCATTTAAATAAAATCCCAAACCAATCCAAAACAGGTGTTGAGCGAGCTTTGGCCTGATGCCTTTCTCATCATAAATGCCATATTCAGCAGGCAGAGTCGTACCTTGTATTTCCTATGTCATTGTTACTTCTTTTTAGCCTATTGGTATTGCAAATTCTGACCTAAGGCTTGGTCTGCTTGAAAGGAAACTGCATTTCCCGTAGGGCAGCGTAGGTTGTGTCACACGTACAACAAAGCGGTGTGGAAAGCTGAGGTAATGACTGGTGGGATGGAGAAACATTTCTGCTCCTATGGGAGTTTTTGGTGTGAGTGGGATTCCACATCTGGTGATGACTGGAGCTTTTTCAGTAATCTGACCTTCCTAGAAAGGAGAGTGGGGAGGAAAATCGCTCTAATTTCGGCTTCACCCTTATGTCTTCTGTCCTCTTTCAGATGACTTGCGAACTGTGTGCTCCAGGCTACCACATAACAAGTAAGAGACCTTTCTACAGCTGTGCTGCTTTTGGTGCATGTTCCGAGACACGCTTGAGGGCTGTGGAGACAAAATCTCTAAAAATTTGTGCTTTCTGGAAGTGGGCCTTTATTCACATGCAGTTTAGCACAGGGGTAAAGGTGGTAGTGCTGGCTGCCTCTTCCCTTGCAAGCTGGACTCTTGACTGAAGGAGACTTCAGTGACCCCCACCCCACAAAGGACCTTGCCCAGTCCCTTGTGTGTTAGAACAAACCCACAGAAAGGGAAAATGAAATTACAGTGTGGAACCTGCTCTAGAGTTGTCCTATCCCCAGCTCCCCGCTTGTTTTGCGTGACCCTGAGCTAAACTGCACTTTGCTTTTTGCCTCTTTGCAAAGCACAAACAAGGGTTTTTTTAAAAATGGGTAAAGAAGAAGAAAAAAAAGTCTTCTGGAAGCTGTGAAGAGCATAATTGGATCACTGTCCTCTTGCCTCTCCGCAGTGCTGGGTGTGGGTTATGTTTGTGGGTTTATGGGTTGGTTTGTGCTGTGTGAATGGTCCTTAGGGCCAGGCCCTCGTGGGCTGGGGAGACCAAAGCTTTCCCTAAATCATCCTCACACCTGTCTGAATTTCTCTCCACAGCCTGCTCCAGCTGGTGATTTCAGGTCCAGTGCAGCAACCGACCCACGGCGCTCTGCCACCAGGATTTTATCCTCATATCCATACTCCTCCTCTGGGCTACCCCACGCACCCTGCGCTCCCGGCTCACCCGGCGCTCCCGGCTCACCCCGTACAAACATTTATACCAGGAATGACGTTCCCATACCGGCCTATTCGCTAAAATGCTAGGACTGTAGAGTGTACCCCGTTTCCCTTAGTTTGAGGAAGCCTTGCAGATGAAACCAACTGTCTTGGGAACCACATTTTCCTCTTTGGTTAAAGCTGAGCAATGCCAGTGTGAGGGACGGGCCCTTCGGCAGTAGAGAAGACGCGGGTGGGTAGGCTGCAGTCAGTTTGGGGTGCAAATACTAAGGCAGATTGTAGGGACAGAAGGAGGGGGGTGGGAAAAGGCACAGAAGCTCCCAACCTCTGCAGTGTGTGGAATTTTTTTTTTACCCGCGTCGTTTCATACAGTCACCAAGGGTATGATATTTCTCAATCATGTGTCTTTCGGTAACCCTGATCTGTTCATGGCACGGTGAGCCCAGCTGGTCTTGCTCTAGGAGGGCCAGAGGCCAAGGCCTGAGATTTTTCAAGCTCATCCACTCCAGCCTGCTCGTTTCTTTGTAAATAGCTACAGAGTATGTGTACACTGTATATTTTTGGAACACAAATGTTTGTTTCAGAAGCACAAGGTAGGGTAAAGCAGCACTTCCTATTAAAGGAAACAATTTAAAAAGGCATAAAATAGTTCTGTCCCTTTATCTTTCAAACAGCGATTCGAAGGTCCAGCTCGGGCCTGTGCTAGGGAGGGAACGCAACGGGAAATGCCCTCTGTACACGCTTCAGCCACTGCTCCGTGGAACTTCGGGGTGAGCTCTGCTGTATTTAATTAAATACCGGCCAAAGGCTGGCTGTGGTGTGCCAGCTGGCTCTGAGGGTAGGCGGGTACGTGCACCGTTCCGTACCGTGCAGGCGGGTACGGAAGCATCCTGGGAAGGGTGACAGGACTTGCTGTGGTTAGCACTACAGTGAAACACGTTGGCTCGACCCCTTAGCTGAGCTCTTCTCCATCGTTGCGTGATGCCCTGAGCCTACCCTGCCGCGTGAAAAAAAGCGAGAAGGGTTCTCCCTACGGGTCGGTGACTTGAACCCGAAACTTCTGCTGTTGCCATCGTCGTACGGCTGTGGTCACCTGGTTACACGTTGGCTGCACAAATGGCACAGATCAGATGGAAGTGGTGAAAATCTGATTTGAATTAAATGGCTGAGAAGGAAACCGTGTTTGTCCTTCTCGGGAAAGGGATGGTAAATAATAAAATGAGGTGATTTAACTTGTATCAGCCCAGAAGTGTTCATCCAGTTGGACTGGATGATTGTTGTAGGTCCCTTCTAGCTACGATATTCTATATTCTCGTCTGTATAACTTCATAGAGCTTCAACAACAAGAAAAAAACCCTTAAAAACTTCTCATTTCAGGAACAGTCATTATGGGTGACAGGTCGCCCCGGCACCCCTTGCAGTGTAGGGCTGGGGGAAACCGCGGCAGAGGTCTTTGACCAACCTCCGTCCTGTTTCCCAAGCGTTTGTGCTCGAGGATGCATCACTAATTAAAAACCGCCCCGTTAATGAGCAGCTTTGCCTAGGCCGCGCTCCCCGGCCGGCCCGCGCTCGGGCTTGCGCACGTGTCCGCCG